CCAACGATAAAGAAAAAATAAATACAGCGTAATGGACAGCAGCTCGAAACGCGATTTTATTCGCCGGCCGTTGTCGCGTCGGGATATATCAGGACTTCGCGTTACTTCGCGTTCGTTATGTCATTCGCATCGAAGCGTAAATACTTATCGCGCAATCAAGCCCCGCTTCCGCGTTCCGCGAGCGTTAAATTAATTGGCTTGCCCGTAGCACGAAAATAAGAAAACACAACTACAATAATAATAATAATAATTCAAAAAATAAGGTGTTAAATCTTCCCCCATGTCCCAGAAAGTCCTACATTTTATGTCGAAATAACGTATTACTTGTTCACAAATTGAAAATGTTGATGAATTGACGCTAACGCATTTTCTTCTAGTACACGATATTATAATATTTGGACTAAAATCTCATTCGTAATGGTAATATTTAATATGGTAATATTTCATATTAATGAAATTGACATATCTATAATATTAAATATTTATTAAAACAATTGCTAAAAAAATTTATTTTGACACAATATATTTTACTGTGTAATATATAACAATGTTGTAATAAAACTGTGTAATATACGAGTATAGCAAAATAATAATAATGTGTGTGTGTGTGTGTGTGTGGATAATAAAATAATCATAATAATAACTTTAACACACAAGAAAGAAGCGTATTTGACCGTCACTGATTTACATTTTCCGACGTCAAACGAGTTCGACTAAGAAATCACGACGAGTGCGCGCAACAAAAGCTCGCGCGACGGGCACGTTTAACGAAGCGGTGAGTCCCGCCGATACATCACGGTCCTGAGCGGCAGATTGAAATTTAACCCAGTGACGCGAATTATTATAATCCCCAACCTACCCATACATACCGCCGCAATGACGGGGGAGGGCGGCAAGGCCCGGCGGCGTTTTTTGCGGTTAGGTTCGTTTAGCTCTCGTGGTGCTCACCTTATACCGCCAAGTATGTAATATCGGATCCCATCGTTCGTTCCCATCCGTGACGGGTCTTTCCGCGCGGGACTGCGTCGTCGTCTTGGCTGCGCGTACGTACGTGCGACGTCGATATATCGGCGCTTGCCCGACGTCCAGACGAGCCTTCGGGCGACGACGAAAGAAGGAACATGGCGTCGCCCCCGCGAGCGCTCGTACGGAAATCTTATCCGCCCGAGTGACACGGTAGGAGCGATCATTGAATGAGAGTGCCTCGCGGGGTCTGGGCGAAAAAAGTCCGCCGATCCGCAGTTTTATAACGGAAGAACCGAGAGGGCCGCGTCACCGTTGAGATTCATCCGCGATTAACCGAACGACGAACGCCGATTAATGTAATCCGCGATTAACTGACGCGCCAGTGGTGCCAACGGGGAGCCAATAGAGCGAAGTTAGTCATCGGAACGAGAGAGAGAGAGAGAGAGGGAAAGTTATCTCGTTCTCTCTTTCTATAACCCTATGTTTAAAATTGTCACCGCTCCAGCTAGTTGCTTTCGGTTCGCTTTATTTATCGCCAACACGGACACGATTGTTAACTTTTGCACTTCGTCGGACGACAAATTGTACATTAATAATATTCATGGGTCGCTAAAAGCAACAAACAATTACTTTATTCTACGGCACTACGTTAATCGTGCTCAAGCTCTTACTGACCATATCAATATTATTAACGAGCGAATATCGACGAGTCTTTTATTTATCTTATTACAAATTATATACGTAGTTAGAAATTAGCGATGCTCTCGATTAATCGTTAATTGCTTTGACCGGAGCCCGATGACGATTCAGTACGGCCATCGTAAATAACCCTCTCTCTTTCTCCTCGCTTGTTGCAATTATTATCGAGATTAAATATTATTGTTGAGAGATGCGTTATTTTGTGTGAAAGCTCTTCGATTCTATACCTGACTGGCTCGGAATTGCAGTCTCTCTTCCTCCGCACGATTCGCAAAGTAACGGGCGCCAACGGTCTCGCCGGTGCAACTGTATTGACTGCGCATCTTTTCCTCAGCGACTACGCGCATATTCTCTCTCTCTTTCTCTTTCCTCCCGCAACCTTGGATTGTCTCGCGCGTCGAATCGCGCTACGTACGGAAACATAAATCTGACAGTCGTAGAAATCTATGAACAAAAGTGGAGCCACTTACATGCGCGTAAAGCAGAATTTATGAGAGGCGCGGGAATATAAATGCACGACGTATCATAAATTCCCGTCTTGGATGCCGGGATATGTATGTGGTGGTGTAGGGTGGAGGAGGGGCGAGAAAAGAGAGCGGCGTATAGGTGGTTGCGCCGAGGATGGCGGGAAATCTCTCCCTCGCGACGGGCCCCGAAGGATACTAACGACATTATTCGTAGCTTTCGCGGGCTTCAGGGACATCTTAAGTATACGAACTAACGGTAGCCCCCAAGACTCGTCACTGTTCCCCACAAATAATAAACATTCTTTCTAAACATTTTTAATACGCAAGGATAATTGAATAAATTTCCGAGACTGATTGCGATGTAATATTGGAAAATAACCATTTTCGATGAGAATAAGAGTCAGACGGACGTTTCTTATTTATTCACTCAGGTCAGCACGTTGGATCGGTCTCCCTTCGTTATTTTGTAAAGAAGTTACTTGCTGTTCGATAAGAAAATACATAATTTATCAAAACGTTACTCTTGATTACTCTCTCGGACAACATCATGTTTAAAATCAGTACATAAATAGGACGTCTTGAAAACGTTTTTCAAATATCTTATGTCCTGAATTTTGACGTTATGTTGTCTGAACTGATATTCTGATTTTTTTTGTAAAGTTTACCATATTTTTTATCTTCCACGTTTATTTGTGATCTGACATACTTCGCGTTTTGTGTTCTTTAGACATTCTCCTTCTTTTCTCTCTCCCTCTCTCTTTCTCTCTCTCTCTCTCTCTCGCTCCCGAGTTAAATTTAAAATCGATTACAAATTTCCTACCGTGCCGTTACGTGACGCAATTTCGTCTTGACGGCCTGCTGTGGACCATATAGAAAATCGAAAGCGCGCACCCGGGAGAAGAGGGAGTGAGGGAGGGGGGGAGTGCATGAACTTAATCGCGGCGGGCCCACCCTCGTCTTCGACCCCGTTCGATATCTTAACTACTTTACCCGGTACACGACCTGTCCCCCCCTCTGATTTAGTCGACTCCGCGCGCCGTGAACCCTCCGTCGCGTCTCGTCTAACTTATGAGCCCCATCCTATCATCCCCGACGCCATTTGGACCGGCAACTTCGCGATGAGATGCATGGAAATCGAGCCGAAGCCTTAATAACACCGATAGCTGATAGCAGTCGCGATCGAACGAGGGAAAAACCGCCAACTTTCCGTCGTCTTAAGAAAGGAGTCCACCCCTATCTCCTCCGGCCGTAACCCTCGTATCGGCTTTCTCCCCTTTTGCCACCGGATAAACGAGTGCCGCGCCGAAAGCTCTCGAGGTTGGTCATCTGTCGATTTTTCTCTCTCTCTCTCTCTCTCTCTCTCATTCTCCGTCGAGTTCTCCTATAGATGCGTTTATAGTAGACGTGTCTCGTTTCTCTCTTATCGGTATTAACTCGGGAAGTTAAACGCTCTTCGCAGCTGGTGTAACCGTGTTATCCGCGTTAATTCGAGATGGGACACGCAGAACAGGTACGCCAAGATCGATTTTCGATGTGTTACAGATACGGAAAATGTATACTTTACGTCAGTTATAACGTTTCTCAATTAGCATATAGAAAGAGAGGGAGAAAGAGAGAGAAAACCCACAGAGAGATTATTCTCGCGCACAAGTTAACATCGACATTTGAACTTTCGTCTCTCGGACAGGTGCGACACGTATGGAATGAAATAGCGTGTATCAACCAGCCGCTCGTTCCGACCTCGCTTACCGTCAGTTAAGTTGAACTTATGAGCGTGTAAAACTAACCATATCGCTGTGTTTCTTTGCGAAAATGAGAATAAACGCGCGATAACGAGTTGCGGCACGATAATCGCGAATCAGGATTCTCATTTCGCGGTCGCTCCACTGCGTATCCGATTTAATTGTCCGATATATGAGAGCCGATTAAAACATCATAGAACCGCCGGCCTGAAATATCGAGATTCACACGGACGCGCACACCTACACGAGATCTACTCGATTTTCCATAAGGTCGTCGGATGGGCCGAGACGGAATTGCATCACGTAACCGCTCCCTTGATATTGCACCGCATCCACGAATTCGATTAATTTTTTACGATCGTCCAATCAGAGAGTCGGATGAAACTGCTTGAATTAACTGTTCTATTAGAAGCTCTTTGGTTTCGACCGAACGAGGCTCGCGATAACGTCTTACGCTTGCCTTTAACCGATTGCAAGCTGGCTACTGATATGATTAAAGTGTTTCATTCCTATTAAGCTCGCTGCAGTACATGTTAGACTTTATGATATGTCTAAGTTTAAATATCGTATATGCACAAAATATACCAGAAAATCTTTATACCGAAAGGAGAAGACGGCATTCTTTATTAAATTTTGCCGAAGGATTATTATATATAGCTCAGCTTTTAATTTTCCAAGAATCTTGAAAGATAAACATTCAATTAATTATTTGTTAAAGTTGTTAAAATTGCGTTAAAAGGTCGTTTTGTTATGTATTTCAACTTTTAAAACTTCCATTTTGAAAGCCAGCTTTTACGTGTACAAATAAGTTTGAAAAGTTTTTAAATATAATTATTGCTCTAAAATAAAATGATATAGCTAAAGTACATATCACTACTTCTTAATATTTAATGTAGGTACATACGCTTATATTTAATTATACTTATTAATTTAACTTATTAATTTAAAATTGGAGAGTTAAAAAAAATCTCTCTGACAGTAAAATATGTACTGTTATTACTAAAATACTAATATAGATTGGAGATATGTTATATTTTTGTTCGAAAAGAATCAACTGACGCCCCCTGTTATGAAAAGACTATACTATAATGGAACATGACCCACGTGCCAGAAATAAAGTGGAAAATACGAGGTTATAGTGTATGACGATGTACTTCATTGAGGTTAGAATGAATTGCGACTAAATTTGAAAATCGCCAAGTATTGAAATATCGTGCAACATATATACACATACCAATATTCTAAAATATAAAATAAACAAATAATCTGAACGTTATATATCCTTAACGTTAACGCTTATTTGCAATCATGGTAAAAAAGCGATCCGGTACGTTACATACATAATATATTTATTAATTCTATGTTGTATTAAATTTTATTTAAATATTCGTTTGTTTCATTACTCTATTTGAAATTAGAATATCTATGTTGCACACTTTTACAGAATTTCAGCAGAGTAAGGAGGAACGTATGTTAATGGCAATTGGCGAAATTATACAGGAGTTGTTAAAGGCTCATCATGAAAATCGAGATGTCGATCTGAACAGGCTAAAAACGCGAATTGCTTCGAAGTATGGCTTGGATTCCTCTCCTAGATTAGTCGATATTATAGCAGCAGTACCTAGCGATGCTAAGCATATACTTGTACCAAAGCTGAAAGCTAAACCTGTCAGGACAGCTAGTGGGGTTAGTATGATTTGTATTACCGTTTATTGAAAAGCAATTGCAGCAAAGAAACAAAGATACAATAATCTGCCTATTATAGATCGCCGTGGTAGCAGTTATGTGTAAACCTCATAGATGTCCACATATCAATATGACAGGTAATATCTGTGTGTACTGTCCTGGAGGACCAGATTCTGATTTCGAATACTCCACACAATCTTATACCGGATATGAGCCTACATCAATGAGAGCAATACGAGCGAGATATGATCCTTTCCTGCAAACTAGACATCGTGTTGAACAAGTCAGTTTAGCATCTTTGTAATCATACCAAATAATTTTCAATTAGCTCTTGATGATTATTAAAACATTAGCTTCATTAATATCTATAATAATGCATATATTTAACATAACATCGTTTCTATTTTCAGTTGAAACAATTAGGACATAGCGTTGATAAAGTTGAGTTTATTGTTATGGGAGGTACTTTCATGTCCTTACCAGAGGACTATAGAGATTATTTCATAAGAAGTTTACACGATGCATTGTCTGGCCATGTAAGCAGTAACGTTGACGAAGCAGTCAAGTTTTCCGAACGTAGCCGCACAAAGTGTATCGGTATTACAATCGAGACTCGGCCTGATTATTGTCTCAAGAAGCACCTTTCGGATATGTTACGTTATGGGTATGTGTACTTTCATTGTTCTCTCATGATGTACCTGCAATTGAACAACTCTCAAATCAAACAGGTGCACACGTCTAGAAATTGGTGTACAGTCTGTATACGAAGATGTAGCGCGTGATACTAACAGAGGACATACGGTGCGCGCTGTATGCGAGAGTTTTCAACTAGCCAAAGATGCTGGATTCAAAGTGATAGCTCACATGATGCCGGACTTGCCAAATGTCGACATCGAACGAGACATTTACCAGTTCATCGTGAGTTGTTGCCCTCTGGCAACCTGAATGAATAAATGTTAAATTCATTAAATCCAATTATTTCTCACTGATGTCTACATTGATTTGTTACGTTTTAGGAATTCTTCGAAAATCCCGCATTCCGGGCGGACGGATTGAAGATTTATCCGACGTTGGTTATACGTGGCACCGGCTTGTATGAACTATGGAAAACCGGCAGGTACAAAAGTTACGCACCTAGTGTGCTCGTTGATCTCATAGCTCGTATTCTGGCTCTAATACCACCGTGGACTCGCGTCTATCGCGTACAGCGCGATATACCCATGCCATTGGTGAGGTAAATATAACACAATCAATGATAGATAAATTCCAGATTGTAAGAAGAAGAATATTTAGAAATTACCAGACTGTGCATACCATTCGTTTCATATTGTGATATGGAGTAAGGAGAAACTTCGACTACAATGAAATTTAGAAAAATTATATAAATCTTGTTTTTCATGGCGTGAAAAAATAGTTCTGGAGTTGAACACGGGAATCTTCGTGAACTGGCTTTAGCCAGAATGAAGGATCTGGGTACAGACTGCCGTGACGTTAGGACACGCGAAGTCGGCATTCAGGAAATACATCACAAAGTGCAGCCATACGAAGTTGAGCTTATACGACGCGATTATGTGGCTAGCAACGGGTGGGAGACGTTTTTATCATACGAAGATCCTATGCAAGATATTCTAATCGGTTTACTCAGGCTGAGGAAGTGCTCTGAAGGAACATTTAGGTATGATTTTGATATACTTCACAAATTAAGGAGATCTTATGATATCTGGAGAAGCTATAACTAATTTGAGTCTCTTGTAGATCAGAATTAAAGGAGAAGACCTCCATAGTAAGAGAGCTTCATGTTTACGGCAGTGTGGTGCCTATTAGCGCTCGAGATCCTACCAAGTTTCAACATCAGGGTTTCGGAACTTTGCTTATGGAAGAAGCTGAACGAATCGCAAGAGAGGAACATGAATCGCACAAAATTTCTGTAATTTCAGGTACGTCGGAAAAAAACACGCACATCTTTCGTATTCAAATTTTTATACGTAAAAATTGGCAAGTATCACCGAGTGATTAGGAATTCATCTATCAGGAAACAATTTCTTTTTACAGGTGTAGGCACACGTAACTATTACAGGAAATTAGGTTACGAACTTGATGGCCCGTATATGTCCAAAATGCTTGTATAACGAAATAATAAAGCAGATATTTGGAATAGAACTTCGATAATATTGGATTAGCTAAGGCTCGGTTGTACCAGCGTTATTTTAACTTTAAGCGAGACTTAAATATCTGCCTTTATTTATTTATTTAGAAAGAAGGATAATTATAGACACATGTTTAACCCTTTGCGGTCCGCAGATTTCACTGATGGGAGTACCAGCAGGTCCGAGCAAATTTAGCGTTTCGCAGTTATTTTTCCGTACGGGATTTAAAGTCAATATATGGATATTAAAACGCAGAATTTGTTGAAACTGATTTGTTGTGTTTAATAGTACTTATAAAAACATAAATTTTTAATTTCTGTAATTTTCCAAAGTGTGATATTTTGCGAAACAATCACCGATATGAAGTCCTGGCTTCCGAGTACAAGTATCACAGTATGTGCGTGTTTCTCGTCTTTTTCCTGGAGTTTTCCTGTCGGAACATACTGCACAGTCTTTCTTGGTTCCTGAACGAATTATATGAAGTTGATTATTTAATCTAATGTCTACGAATGACGTTGAAGGTTGCGCTCTAGATGGTGTTTGGTGCCGGAAATTTTCTACTAATTCATCGACTAAACATTTCACAAAATTTAAGTGTGTTAGTGGCCTTTCGTTGTTCTGTTGTCTTGTTATTTTATGCATTATGTAAGCATTGATGACGCACATCTCCATGCCCCAAAAAAATAATGTCCTCCACCATTTGAGGGATTTTCGTAGGAAACAATACGTTGCTGCATGTTGGTCCGCGCGATCAACTGCTCTCATTTTTTCGGTGTAATGTATAGCCACAATTGGTTTCAATAAATTTATTGTGGCACCACCGCGTGTTCTCGTTGTAACCGATTCAAGGGATGCTGCATCGCTGGTGCTCAGGAAAGTTACGATTCGTTTGCTTTTCCATGCGAGGACTAATGTATTTTCCTTCTTATAAGCCACAGTCGATTTTGTGGAAAATTTCGGTTTCTTAATCGCAGCTGGCAAGTATTTACGATTTGGCATTACTGTACCAGTTAAATGGACCTTTACTTTTAGAAGTTCATTGGCAAGCGGGATACTTGTAAAGTATCTATCAGTATACAAATGATAGCCCTCAGCATTTGGAATGTTGTCCAGAAGTTTTTTAACCAAGGTCAATGGAATTCGAGAGCTAACCGGAAGTTCTGGTTTCTCTAAACCCTCAGTTGTCAAACTTCCATAGTAGGGCAAAATCGAGTAGACATATCCGGTTTCCCCATCCGCTAATACGTAAATTCTTATGCCCCATTTGGTCGGTTTTTTTGGATTATACCTTATAAACGCAATTTTCCCCTTGAACTTGACGATTGATTCATCGACACAAATATCCTTACCAGGTATAAAATGTTCCGCAAACTTCGAGTCGATATATTGTAAAAAGTTGTTTGCCTTTCCAATCCGGATTCCCAAAGATGTATTAGAAGATGCATTGTCTCGTAGATGTAACATCCAGAAAATTTGACGGAATCGGTTTCTTCTGAATACCTCCGAATAGAAAGGAATTCTGCTATTGCTCCTAGTTGTCCAATATTCCGATATGCTTGCAAGTGGCATTGTTCCCATATTTAGAATTACACCGATGAAGGCCATAAATTCTTCACGTGTAACGTCTATCCACGAATGCCAAATAGAGTTGTTGGCCAACTGTTTCTCACGTATCTTCATTTGTGCATATTCATTAGTCGTTTTTACTATTTGGTCTATCAATATATCAGTGAAATATAATTTGAAAAAGTCCAATGGTCTTGTTATATCCTGAGATATTTGTGGTCCTACGATTCGCGGAGAAGTTTTGAACGTGAAACTAAAAGGCAAATCGTCTTTTTCTGTTACGTCCTCCCATCCATCACTTTCACTTGAGTCCTCTATTTGTTCTAAATGTTCTTCGTCATCACCTTCACTATTCTCCATGTCATTGTCAATTCTTAGTACATTCCGTCTTTTAGGAGGAACTATGCAATCGTCACTACTGTCACTTTCATTGTCAGGTACTGAATCATACATTGAATTGTTCATATTTTCATTATATACTTCAACTTTCAATTCATCATCACTACTCTCATTATCTTGAGAATCATTCCTAAACTCCTCCATTTTTGGGAATTACACTGTTTATTTCTTAAATTTTGAACACAAATTTTATGATATATACAGTACTTTTTGATCATGAAATAACCTGTGCGACGTGCAGAGTGGCTAGCTTTTTACTGATCTCAATGTTTCTCGAGAGCTCGTTTGAAACTGACTGCCCGGAAATCTCTCCTCTCCGAGGGGATCAATAAACATTGATATCTGTAAGTTGATCCAAACATTTGAATCTGACATCGGGAGGATAGTTTTCTTTCATTACCGCTAGCCTCGTTCGCCGTGCCGCTCGCCAGGCGATCATGAATGACATCAGGCCGCCAGGCACGGACTTCTACGACGACTTGCGAATGCCGCCACTGTGGCGGCATGGGCCGCAAAGGGTTAAAACCAAAATAATGTTAGTGCAATCAGACCTAAAGGAGAATTCATACCTTGGCAGAAAAGCAGGAGCCAATCGTGCTGGTAGTAAGTAGATAAATCAGAAATTGACCACTACCAGCTCGGGTTCTGGTTGGCTTCTGCTTTTCTGTGAAAGTGTGAATTCTCTCTTAGAAGTAAATAAGTGTACAAAAAATATACAGGGTGTAGAAACGACGTTTGTTCCACTAGTTGTTTCCGATCATCATGACCTTAAAGCATGTATCAAACTGCGGATTGAGATTGGATTGAAATTTGACCAATCAGAGCAAAGTACACTAAACTTTAGTGAACTTTGCTCTGATTGGCCGAATTTTTATCTAATCTCAATTCTAGTCCATAGTCTGATACGAGCTTAAGACTTTGTGTCCACGATACTAAATCTTGAACTAAGATTTAATACTTATGTTGGTAAATGCTTGAATTAGAGATTATTATAGTTTCTGCACGCGGCAGCGTTTGCCGCGCGGCGCAAGTTCGCACGGTAGTCAATCAACAAGCCGTTTTTCGGTAAGAACTAGAAGTTTATTGGCTACCGCGTGAACTTTCGCCGCGACTATGAATATTGGCCATAGTGAAGGTTTCAGAACCAATTTCCGAAAATAAGAAGGTAAAAATAAGACTCTTGAAATCTGTGTATATTAGACTCTTTATTTTTCCACAAAAGTGGGTTTAAAAATATATATCCCTGATTTAGACCCTTTATTTCCTTTAAAAAATTAGCGGGTCTATAAATATATGTATACACGAGAGGGAGAAAAGGGAGGAGTTTCAATACATGTATGAAAATTATAAGGTTTATGCTATAAAGTGCTTCTCGAACCATTTCATTATCCTTATTTTTTGCATAGTTATAGTCTGTCGAATTTTATGACACTTCGATAGCAGATCAACGAGACTTTTATTTTCAACAAGTACAACTTAACGACTAATAAGAACTATTTTTATTCTTAGATATGAGTTTTTATTTTCATAAACTAAGGAGAACTAAAATCTTTTTAAGGAATCACATTACTAACCCATAAAAATATCAAGCAGGATTTTCAAGAAAATTCGAACAGTATGCTTCTGGGCAATTCGAACGAGATATATACGCATGTGCAGAAGCTGTTTCCTCAATAAACTCTAATATTGAAACCAAAAAATATCAAATTAAAAAAAGAGTCGGAAACAAATTAACTTAGCTTATCTCTGACCGCAAACCATAGAGGTTTAAGACGTCCACCTGTTATGTTCTGAATATCTCGTGCGAAAGAATCTCCCCCATCTTCCCCTTCAATCTCTCCTCTCCCTCTCTCATTCCACTCGTCTCTTCGCTACCAACGGTCGACAGGAGGCCGCGGGTAAACAAAAGCAAGTCGGCCGCTGTAACGATCGCGACAGGCAGTTTTGTCAGTGACAGACGGTGTTACGTGGGTGACATATGTACGCACGTACGTGCGCCGCGCGCGCACGTTAAGTCCCCGTTCCTCGCGTGTGCGACGCTACGAGAACCCGCGAGAATCCGTTGACCGATGCACCGCGCGTAATTCGGCCGATGAGATGCGGCAGGCGATGTGGAGGAGAGCGCACGTCGAAACGACAACGACGTGAATAAGGACGAGGTTGCCGAGGAAGACCGTGTCCTGGTGTCCTCTCGATCCCTCTCGTCCTCCTTCTCCTGCGATCCTCGAGCGAGGACTCCTGCGAATCGTTTGGTGTGAAAACTCATCGGCGTCCTGAATCGCGCCAGGACAGGTAAGGATATTTCCCAGCGATCCCCGCGGCTGACGACCCTTCCTGTGCGATCTCGGGCGCCTCTCGACGGTGCCGCGTACTTTCCGCGAAATTAGGTTATGTTTTTGCACGTATGTCGACGGGGGTATTGTCGGCCGCGCTCTGTTCGATAACCACGGCGTCGCACGCCTGGCATCGTGCACCGTAAACAGGAAACGGTGTTTCCACAACCCGACGATTGCTATTGCGATTACGGTCCCGGAGCCTCGCGGCTCGAAATCGCAATTAGCACGGGCTCGTTATCGCGGCATCGCGAATGATCCCGTACGAATTAGTAGACGGCTTCTCGTGACTTGGCGCGGCTGAGAATTGCGGGCGCGTGAGGAGACCCCGCGTGTAAACAAGATTCTCACGTACGCAACAGTATATTATGCGCCACGTACGTGCGAAAGGTCCCTCAGTGTGTCAGAATGCGCGGAAAGCGCGTGAAAATTCCTCCGGGGGGAATTCGGTCATCGGCATGCCGACGAGAGAGAGGACCTTTACGTCTTGATAATGTAACGAGAGACAGATCGTTTTTGTCATGTTGTCATTAAACATTATCATCGAAATGTTATCGGAAAGAAATTTGTAGACTCTTGTAATGATATTTTTATATTTTTTGCACATTTTTTTTACGTGCTTGATGGTATTCCAACGAAAAATAATTATCATGCCTCAGTATTCTAACGAAAGGCGGATCACCTGTCGTTTGTTATATTATTATCAGAAAGAGAAATTCACAGACTGGCAATGATTTTTTTATCCATTTATGTATATATTTTTCCAACCTACTTGATGTTTCAACGAAAGAAAATTATAACGCCTTAATATCCCAAAGAAAGACGTATAAAAACATATTATAATAATTGATTGTATGTTCTAATAATATATAAATTCAGGCGGATCAGTTGACGTTTATGTGATATAGATTATTATAAAAAAATGTCTATTATTCAGAAAAAAATTTGTAGACGCGCAGTGATGTTTTTGCACATTTAAGTGCGCACTTTTCCGCACTGTTATCGCAAACATTTTCTTTCCTCGGCTATTAGAAACCGTCGCCGGTCACATGTACGTCGCACGTGCGTCTCTCCCGCGGCCGTTCTCACGCGCAATGCCCGTATCGTAATCGCAGCTTCTCTCTCGGCGCGTGCATTCTCTAAGCGCAGCGGTCCTGGCCGTCGGCGATCGCGATATACGTACAAAGTGACCAACCGCCGAGAAATCGCCGCTCGCCGGGCAGCCAATCGTGGTACACTGGCATGATATATCGTTAGTACGGCGCGGCTATTATTAAGCTTGTCCTTAACGATCCGCCAGGACTATCGTTTGCAGATCATTAGCTGTTGTCGCGCGATTTGCGTCGGAGTGATCCGCGAATCGTTTGTCTTTCTCTCTCTCTCTCTCTCTCTCTCCTCGCGCGTGTTGCGCCGCGGGCATCGTCGCGAGCGAGCCACAGCCTTTAAATCGAATGCCTCGCGCGTTTCGCCGCGTTCCGTACCTACCGTTCCGCTTCGTTTCGCCTCGCCGCGCGAACTCGCGCAGTGAAAGTCGACCGAGAACAACAGCGCGCGACTTTTAGGCTGCTGCTGCCGTTGCTGATTTTTGGATAAGCAGCGTGAGAGGGAGCGAGAAAGAGCGCTTACCTTCGGTGAGTGGCAACTCTTTTGCGAACGCGTTTCGGCAGGGTAAACCTGGCTGCCCGCACGTCACATTCAATGCTAAACGCGACCGTGTGGTCTTTGGCTCGAGAGATCTCCGTGCGATCTTTATATATAAGCCAATGAAACTCGCGATTTATGTCTTGCTGCGCATGTATCGTGGAGTACTCTCTTGGAAGAAAAGGGAAAAAGAGACGAAGGAGAGAAGCGGAGGTGCGGTTTTAAAGTTTCGGGAGGAACCCGCTTTTTCTCCATTTTCCCGTGGACTTTTTTTTTGTTTCTTCTTTATGGAAAGAAGTAAGCATGACGGATTTTAACCGATGAAGTGAAGTTTTCCAAATTAATTTATGCACTTTTAGGACAAAAACTGAAGAAATCCGCGGATAAATAGGGAAAAAATGGGTTTCTCCCGAAACTTGAAAACTAGAAGTAGAGGGAATTATGTTTGTTACTCCTTGGCGAGAAATATAACTTGTTCTGAAATTACTATCTTTAATAAAGTAATTGACATTACAAGGGAATCTCCCTACACGGTAAAAAAAATGTCTTATTAAATTTAACACATGTCCCAAACGGTTCACACAAATTTCTGTGTTAATTTATCACAAGTTAAATACATCGCAAAGTAATACAAATATTATGTCAGAAATTAACACAAAATTAATATTCATAATATGTTAATCGACACTGAAATGTAAAGTGGGTTATTTTAATACTTGCGTTTCTTTTAATATTTACACGTGTTGAATATTGACCCAACACAAAATATTGAGATGACATAAACACAATATGTTAAACACGTATATTAAAAATTTAACACAGAAATTTTAACAAGGGCCGATTTTAACATGAATATAAAATTTTACTGCATAGGAAACGTCACGATTTCACATCTGCGATTCACTTGTACAATTCTGTGTGGGAATATTTATCAAAATATTTATGTTCACGCGTCCGATATCGGGGAGAAACCAGGTTACGTCGCATTATTTCGCGCGTCTTTTACTCGCGAATTTGATTTTTTATTCGCACCGGAGCGCGCCCGTCCATGAGCGTGAAACCGATACGCGCGACTATTTACAATTTTATTAGTCACGCAGCTGTTTACGCATAATAAACATTCGGCGGAGCGTTACGCAACCGCGGATCCGTCGTAGTTAATGTATTTATTTTACCTTTTGGCGCCGTTACTTATCGTTGGGAGAGAAAGAGAGATCAGCTGAATCGATAATAAATGCGCGTGTGTCGGGTCTCTTTTACGTGTAAACAACACCGGTGCTGTGCGTGCAATATTTAAACGACGAGTTATAAACAGCCTAAGTAGACGAACAATAAAAATAAACCGTCAGTTTCCATTGTTTATCCGCCGGGATAAAATATAAAACTTTAGTTTGTACATTCCACACACGTGTCCAGCGTCCGCTCCGCGTTGTTGCATTAGCACGCGCGTATTCTTTAAATCTCTCAGCCGGTGCCCACGAGGCGTGCTTTGAGTCCCGTATTAACAGTCGTTACATGAAATCTGTCTCACGTGAGATATTCGTACTTGAATTTGAAGGCAGGTGTGAGTTTTTCAGTCGCGTCACGCAATATAGAATGTTCTAGAATCAACGTATGTCCTTAACATAACAGATTTTTCGGGACATTCGAAGACGGAAATTTAAGTATGAAATTCAAATACGATACTCACGTACGAAATTCAAATATGAAAATATTGAAGAAGCTCCCTATTCATAGAGATTTTTCAATATTCAACATAATATATCTTTATAAGATCTTTCTAAAGTCTTAAATTCACGGAAAAAAATTAATTCCTATAATTAAAAACTAGCTGCTTGTATAAACTGAAGTTTAGTACCGGATCTAGTTTTTAGCTGTGAGAGCTCATTATTTTTTTTCTGTGTATGACTAGACTCATAAGAATTAGCCCCCACAGAGCTAAAAACTAGTAACTAAAGTTCAGTTGTATTATGTGTACAACTAGTTTTTGACTGTGGAAGCATAATTCTTTTTTTCTCGCGCTTCTATGAAAATAAAGTCCACTTGAAATTGATCGAAGAAAATAATTTTGTTATGCATTCTGTCTGTTCGACGTTTAGTTTGCGAAAAACTCCGCTTTTTTCGATCACTCATATTTCGGAAACTCGATATATTATCTATTGATACTTTGTACATTTTCGTACTTGAATTTTTATCTTAGAATATCCCGAGGAATCTGTCATGTTAAAATCAACATACGTTGGTTTTGGAACACTCTATATAATGTCACGCGTGTCATACGATTCGACTGAAAGTTCAGATCTGATTCTAAGTTCAAGTCTCGAGTTACTTAAGACAAGTTTCAAATAACGACTATATTAATACGCACAATTACCTCGAATCAGAGTCATATCAAGTGCATTTTAAATTACACTCACGGCGAGGAGTAATTGTAAAAGGAAAAAAGGAAGAAAAAAGAACATGGTACGCGCAGTGTTATATAAGCTCGGTAAAAATATAAAAATAATGAAAAAGTTGATCGATTACGTTTTTGCAACGCGTTTAAACGCGTCTACACTATCGTTCTTCGGAAGAGAAGAAAAAAAACACACGAATTAATCTTATCTGATGTGTCTCGAGATCGTTTGGAGAACGCGGATTCGATGTCGTAATCGGTAAGATGTTTCACACGTTTCGAACAATGATCACGTGTAATCAAATTCATCGGAACGCCTCCCGCCGTTTGTCCCGCTGTGAATCAGTGTCTATGCGATAGCGCGAGTGTATCTCTCGATGTAACCCAAACATGTTCTGTATAGTGTCTCTTACACGTAAAATTAGATCAACTACGTCAACACGGAAATAAATATGCGTCCGACTCCAACAGTGATTGACTTATTTTGCGTTCCCGCGTTGTATTTCCGCGAAAGAAATATGCGCGTCGTATGCGCATCGTAATGCGCAAGTATTCGCAGCTGGTTTTCGCGTAACGCGATTTGCACGCAAAACGTGGGTAATTACCGCATATTTGTCGCGCATTTTTCGCGTTTTCGACGACGATGTGCGACGTTCTTGTTATTTCGAACGGCAATTGACCGTCGGCAATTTTGTCCTTGAAAGCCTCGCCGATCGAAGGGAAATTTTCGCGAAATAACAGCGCGCCGACTGTAACTTCGATCTCGTCTTCGTCGAGGAGCTGACGACGGAGACGATTCTTTTCGACAAATCCATGTGAGTCAAGACAATGAGCTCGTAGTACTGGAAGTTTACGGTGTCGTTACACGGTACCCGGGTTCTTTGTACAATATTATCCACGCCCGATGTGTGCGCGATATTAATCGATCTCTAATGAATATATCGATTCAGCATTGCAGACGTTCGCTGTTACCGTCAGCATTTGCTCCGCGTCGGTTTTTACAGTACGACATACATGACCAAGCAAAACTCCACACTCTCCAGGAATTTTCCAGAAACATCGTTATTTAATTTTTTATTCCCCTTTTTAATATACTACTTAATGTTGAGTCCTCCGGCGGTTTCGCGTTTTTCTTCCCGTGACCGGTCACGTTGTGTGTCGAGAACACGCGGTGACTTCAGGAAATATGACTCAGTTTCCTCGTATTGTATGAAAGATTGCGCTTCAAGATAAATATTTTACACTTAAACACGAAAAATACACGCTTGCCTACATCCGTTGTTAGCTGAAACGTGATAGTACAAACGAAACTTGTCAAAAAGGACATTCCGCTTTCGGTAAGAAGCTGATTAAAAGGTTAAAGATATGTCATAACGTGACAGCCTTCAGAGAGGCTCTTTTGAATTTTCTTTAACATTATTGCGTAGGATCGGAATCGCTCATTCGTTGCATAGTTTATTAACATCGGCCGCATATGGGCCGCTAAAAATGACGCGCTACGTGTCCTTCGCCGGGCGTAACAGTAATTACCGCATGTGTGACTTACGCAATTATAAAAAAAAAAAAGAAACGAAAGGACCTTTCATGGTTCACTGGCAGTCGTCGATATTCTTGTTTCATTCCCCGGACAGCCGCTCGATTTTCCGAGTGGCTGAGCGGTCGTTCACAATCAGCGGTACGTACGTATCGATTACGCACGGCTTGCACCTACTACGAGTGCACGTCATCGTCTCGTTGTTTCATCTTCGCTTACGAAAGAAATATCACTGTGATAATACGAGTATGTAAATTACGACAGGTTGCCGCATAAACGAGAGAGGATGTACGATAAGGCAGATGTCGGTCTCTCGTGTTCAACTAGACTAGATATGTGGGATCCTCAAAATAATAGCGAGGGGCAAAATCGATATTACCGAACAAAGGAGTCTAACATTCTTTGGAATTTATGATGGAAAAGATCGATCGATCGATCGTGAATACTCTCTTGGAATATTCTCTTTATGTAAAAATTTATTTCGGTCATGGGAGCGACGCTTTTCTTTGCTGAAATAAGATAGAGGTGGGAAATGTTTATTCAAAAATCTTCAGTCCAGAAAGCAGGTATCCACAAATCATACATGAGAAAAAAATTTGACTGAAACCAGACAGTGAATAAATTAAACACGTTTTGATTGAAGAAAACAGAATTTCTGATTTTTATGACCTAAATTTGGCTCTTACAAGTAGAAATTCTGTTTCCTTCCATCAAAACGTGCTTAGTTCGTTTACTGTCTAATAAATTCAACCAAATGTTTTTTCCGTGTGGCTTTACAGATCCCTGCGAATTTTAGATCCTTTTCTTTGACCAATCACGTTCTTTCTGAATTAGCTGAATAGTTTTGGTATCATAATAATCCGAGGATGGTTATGACATCCCATTTCAAAATAGTGTTTCCAGGTCTATAAAATCGTTCAAGTTCAGGGACACTCTGAAATAAGTTCTTCCCCTCCCCCCCCCCCCCCCCCCCCCCCCCCCCNTCGCGCACGGGCACCTCGACAATCGAATCTTTTTCCCATTTCAAGTTCACGGACACTCTGAAATCCGTCCGTAGGCGCCCAAGCTGAGATACTCCCCGAGCTATTGCGGAATCGGTGGCTACGCCACTGATTCCCCACGTACGTGAAAACGTTTGAGGAATATTGGGCACGTTACCAGGGGCCGCGCGCGTTACCTGACAGCATACACACACACACACACACTCACGGACAGGCCAATCGAGAGAGGTTCATTCGTCTCGTGGCGTTGCCGCGCTCTAATACGTCAGTCTATGTTTGCCCGGCCGTCAGCGAAGGCGACGTCCGACGTAACGCGGTCTAACGCGGGTGAACGGCGAAAACAACGTGTTTCGCAGTGTCACCGAGGAGAACGAGCGTGTCAGATCGCGAGCGAGCTCACCTCAGGCGATATTCAACCGTCGCGGCCGCGTTACGCTACCAAGGAAGCAAGTGTGACACAGTAGTGATGAAACTGGATTTTTAAACTGGACTTTTAATTCCCGCGACAAGAGGGGCCTCGTCACGTCGTTATTTCAGTTCCTGATTAGACGCTCGTTGACGGATCGAGCACTGATCGATAACCCGAGAGCGAGCGCAGAAACGAGTCGTGTTCCCCGCGCTCGAGTGAAATCTTCCGGACGCGCGGAAACTCGCGCGCGGACGGCTCGTCGGAATTTCGCGAGTTCCTCGCACGCTCTTATCGATATTATCGCACTTTCACGGTTACACGTGCTCGTGCAGACTCCTCGCCGAGTTCCCCCGCCGGCGCTCTCATTGATATTCGGCGTGCCGCGCTGCCTCTGGAGGACTCGCATTATCAACGGTAGTCGTCATCGAAGACATTTGACGGGAAGTGGTCGAAACGACGACGAAGGAAAGTCTCTCGGCGCGAGTTTCACGTTCAACAACCTCGGGCTCGACTCGGAGAAAACCGCCGAGCGGCGGTTCGGCGCAAACTGAAAAGAAGTGCCTCGTCTCCGGCGGGCGCGGGTCGATGACACCTGGACGACCGATTTAAAATTATGTTATCCATTTGTTGAACAAACACGCGCCAGAACACCGACCGAAGGGGAGAGAGTGCGGTGGAGTGTGTGAATAAAAATTCCACATGAGGTCGACGGAATAAAGCTTAATAGGCTTATCGCTATCCAATTCGGAAGGAGTCAAGATGATAACCGTGCCGATATCAAGCTCCAGTCCTTACGTGAAGGCCACGTCCTACAGCGACGCCAGCGAGATCGCCAAGACGTCCTTGGTGAGTCCTCGAGCCAGGTGAAATTTCGGAAAATCTCTCGCTCGCGCTGCGTGTCGACATTGTCCGCGTTCGGCGGAAAGGGCTTACCGAGCGCTTCGTAATTATTGTATATGATTGGAGAATTCTTCCAGACCATCCATAAATCCAGGAGAACGTGCCAATCAGAAGCAATAATCACAGAGCGAGTACTAAGCTGCTCTTCCTGCCGAATGCGAGCGAATGTCGCGAACGACCGACGAGGTCGCGAGCAGGTTCTCATTATTATTCTTCCGGTTTATTTTCCGTCTCTTCGAGCTTTGCATTCGCGTTTGATACGTATTCCAGGTATTTTTGAGTTATGTAAATTTCGTAATTACGTAAGCGTGCCTGTGTGATAGGTAACGATATACCAGTAGCGTGCCGCGCACTCGTCATTGATGGTTTTAGAGTGAAACTGCATGCTCCGAGGAGACGTCCGCTCGGCCGTGGACGAGCGCTCAAGTCATTTACGTAATTTCGTTTTCTACCAATTCGAAGTGCCGATGTGGAAACTCCGCCGCCGGATCGTCGCGCTCGCTTCCATCGGTCGTTGTATCGTCGCAAACAAGAGGCGGTATCGGCCGAAATAATTCAGGAGAAAATATGTATTGAGAGAAAAAAAGAGAGAGAGAGAGAGAGAGAGAGAGCGCGTTCACCTATGCGCCTCTCGTCGTATCCGCGATGCCGAGAAATTTCGCCGTAATTGCTGACGACACGCGTCACAAAGGGTTAATTAGAGCCAACTCGGCGCAATCGTGCGGAACGCCGGCTTCGATACGTCCCAACGACGCACGGCAGCGTAATTAATTTCCTCCGGCGTCTATTCGCCACCTTTGCTTCTTATCGGCGAATCTGCCTGAGGTCATTATCGCTCGCCTGGTCGCTTTGTCGTCGCCGAGGATCGACAATCACCGTGGGGCTCAAGTGGCGCTGAGAATTCAACGCTGCACGCTCGCAGAGTTACGTTCTCGGCGCGTTACTCGCCGCGCCTCTCGCGTGCTCACAGCTCGACGATAGTCGGAATCCGAAAGAATCGCGATTGAAAACAACAACGGCTTATTGATTGCGAGCTCATGCGTCATTTCGACGCGTTCTTTTTAGTGGGCGCGGGACACGCGAAATTGTGACGCGATTTTATCGGTGAAATTGGCGAGAGGAAGGAACCAAGAGCCGCCGATATTAACTCACCATTGTAAGATTAGAGCGTGATGGAAGGTTACGAAATTTCCACCACCGGGGAGTCTTTCCGAGCGACTATTTTCCGTCAACTCGCTGGATTATAACGTCTCTTCCTTCCTGTCTGCTTTCCTTCTTTCCTTCCTTCCTTCCTTCCTTTCGTTAGCGGAAAGGCGTATTTTCGCGAAACCGAGCATACAGCGGTCTAAATTTATACATCGGCGGACAAACGACGCGAAATCCCGACAGCCTGCCAGCAACCGTTGACTGACCGTGTTCCGATTCCTTCGTGCATAAGAGAAGGCGCACGAAGGCTTCTTACTGAGCCGTTCATTCTTCAATGCACTTGCATATTCAACTCGCCACGCGAGTTTAACGCCGCGCATTAGCACGCTAAGTGCCGCTTTTCAGGTTTTCGTTTTATCGCCTTTATTCGCACGGGGAAATTCCGGAGGTCGGCCCCCCGGCCTCTGGAACGCTGCGACCCGTTCACTCTGAGAATGAAATAATTTCACAGCGGACACGTGACGCCGAGAATGCCATTGGCCACGAATTCGTACGCTCGTCGAGCGTTCGCATATGGGACACACTCGTATGTGCAGAGGCTCCTCGAAAATATTCACCGCGTCGGATCTCATCCCGCTTTCTGATTGACTGTTTAATGTAGACTTTCAGTCGCAGATACACACTGAGAGAAAAAATATCGAAAAAATAAAAATAAAAACATATTTTTTGAAGGCTTCAAGAAAACCGATTTTCGTTTTCGCGGATTTTTTCGGTTTCTTTTCTAAGGGTGGACAAATTTATGTAGAAAAATTCATGTGTCCAGTTAAATCCTGCTATATTTACTTTTTTCCATAAAGAAGATTATTGCGCGCACTTGAAGTTAAGTGACCTTCGTATGTTTAAGTAATGTTATTACCTTAAGAAAAGTTTAACCGAATACATTGTGAAGAAATATGTATACAATAATAATGTTATCAGTGCGCATAATTTTCTTAAATCCATGTTAATAAATAACTACTGGTGGTTTATATAAAATATTAAAGATTAATGTTTCGAAACAAAGGCATTATTCGAAAAAAAGTTTCAGACAAAGGTTGTAAAATTTTGTGGGAAGCGTGAAATGGTAATAATACATTATTAAACTATATATTTAAACATTATTTCAAGGTTAATTTTAATTTGTTTAATGGAATCGTATGACTTTTTTACATAAATTTACTATTCACAATTAAAAGTGGAAGAAATTTTATTAAAGATAAAAATCGAAATTTTAAGAAAAACAAGATTACATAACTTCCCAAATCACATTAATATGAATGAGGGACTTTAAATATTATTCAACGTATGACTTAAGTAACAAAAGAGCAATTTTTCGCAGAAACTTGTTTCTTGTTTTTTCCAGTGATTACAAAAACGGTTTCTTAACTATAAAAGATATTTAATTGGATACTAATAACATTTACTTAAATCTAAATTCTGTTGTTTAAACAAAATAAATTATTACTTTCAGGAGAAGTTACGGATATAAGGAAATGTATATTATCTTATTTGAACAAAATGTTTTATTAGTAAAATAAAATAAGAATGCGTATTTTGATAATAAATATATTATTAGTGTTCATCAAATAAATATTTTGGTGAACGAAAAAAAAAAAAAAAAAAATGGAAAGCATAGAATATAAATAAGAAATATGAAATATAGAAATAGAGAGAAACAGAACGGGAAGAGAAGGAGAATTGAATTCTCTGAGGCGTCGAGTTCACGGCGGGCTTAATTAAATTTTAAAGCGCGCACGCCTGCTCGATATACGCTCGCACGTGTAACGAGTGAGCACGTGCACAAAAGTGACAGCCATCGTAAAGAAGAAAATAAATAAAATAAGGAAAGGATCGCGCTGATACCTCCCTCTACTTCGCCTCATCGAGTATTCGAACTGGCTGTCCGTAATAAAATTTACAATCCGGCGTTATCGCGCGCATTAACTTCGCGCGCATCAATTATTGAGAGCAACTGAGGCTGCACCGGCTGCATATCTGATTGCACTCGTGACGAGAATTTAAGCGATTCTCGCGTGCGCTAACTGGGGGAACGCGGTAATAACGCGAACGGCGACCTTACGGTGAAACGATCGAATAATTGAACGATCAGAGTATTAATTTATCGTCATGCCGCAGCAACGGTTATCAATATATGAGCCATATGGCCACCACTGGAACCGACCAGAGGCGGCTGTACTTTTACGGGATCGCGTGTAAGAAGAGAAAAATGCATAACGACAAATAGGCAGCAGGGAGTTTCCGAGCGACTTGGCCGAGCGATTGTCTCTCTCCTCCCTCTCGACATCGAGCGACCGGTTGCGATGCGGGTGAATAAATGGAAAACTGGGTGATACCACGGGGACAAGTGGAAAGTAACCATAGAATAATGGAACCGGACCTCGGGGGGACTCACGAGCGCAAAAATATTGAGAGACGCTGCGGCGAAGTGTCATTTTTTTCCTTTCTTTTCGTTAACTTCGTGTTTACCGCGTATGCAGATGACGGTGGGCGAGCAGGTTTTTTCCCGAGTTGTTCTTTATTATCCGTGATATCTCTGCTGCGTACGTGATACGTTACATCGTCGCCGGGAGTTTCCTCCGGAAGGTCTCGCTCCGCTTCTAATTCTAATTCTAACTTTAATTTATTCGCCAGACGCACGAGACCCCCCTTGGATTTTACGTATAATTATAGTTTTGAAGACTTGGAAAAACCTGTTTTTTTTTTTCCAATTTGTCCATGGATCTTTTCAGTTTTCTTTCCCAGAGATAGGAAAAATCGTTCAGAAAAATTTACGTGTTCAATTTACGTTCAAAACCTGTCATATTCACTTCTCGTAAAAAAGATAATTGCGCGCATTTAATCGCAGTTGAATAAAGTTAATATGTTACATATTATGAGCAATAAAATATTAAATATTACCTTCCAAGAATTACAACTGCGAATACATTGTGAACATATAAATATGTAATACCTAATATATAATGTTATCAGTGCCTATGTTTTTTTTTAATGTGTTAATAAGAAATAACTACTGAGTGACCTGTGTAAAATGTCACAAACTAATGTTTCGAAAGAGAATCAGACAAAAATATAAGACTTCATGGAGGACATAAAACAATGTTATTACATTATTGAACTGTTTCTTTTAACATTATTTCAAAATCAACTTAATGGAATTATTTTTTAATAGAATCATATGGTATTTTTAAGTAGCACGAAAGCAATTTCTCGCAAAAACTCGATTTATTTCCTGTTTTTTCTAGCTATTAGAAAAAACCGGTTTTTTAAAAACTGTATGCAAAATAGTATCTATTGTTTATATATTTTTCGTTTCCGCCGATATATTTCTCTTGTTTCACCTGTACCACGAGGGACATAAACATGTCATTTCTCGTTAGATATGCTCTTTTTTTACGTATGTATTCACGTCTTGTTTTACATCTCAGTAACGGTAATCATCGCAATATCGAGAGGCGCATCCGTCACTCTGCTGTGTTCACGACTGGAATGAGCTTTACGTAATATCAATACTCGTGCTGCCTTACGCGGAATCTCTTCCAGGAAGCTTTCGAGCCGAGTTGACACGCATATTTATGGTTATTGTATGAATTATACCGCTTCAACGGGTGAAATTATAATGCGCGGTGTCCTGTGAGTAAACAGGTCACTGTTACAAAACTTGACGTTCCGTAGTACATCCCGAAATAATTTCACGCTGTGCTGGACTTGTTATATTCTCAAGAGATTTCATTGCGTGAAGT